GGGGGGGGGGGAGTAGAGCACGGGGGTGCGGCTGGCTTTAGTCCAGCAGGGAGGGAGGACCCGAGAGCAATGGGCCAGAGGACTAGTGTCTCAGGCTCTCACTGGGGCCTGTCCCTGTGGATATGTGTGAAATTGGGGAGGGGGGTGTGACAGAACTGAGGTGCACGGGATCTGGGGAGGGGCCTTTGGGACACCCGAGAAGCTTATTGATCTTGCCCTTTCCTCCCTTTAACCAAGCCTCCCCCACCTGGCAGGTCAGGGGGCAGGGAGCAGGAAGAGACCCAGGAGGGGCAGGCTGGTGGGGCCTGGGTCTGGCAGGGAGTTACTGAGCCAGCGCTGGGCTCCCATCAACACAGAGGTGGGTCAGGTGGAGTGTGGCCTGGGCTGACCAGCAGGCTAGATCTAACTGCTATCTCAGGCCTTCTCAGATTAATTGTGGACCTTCACTGAGCACTGAGCACATTGGTAAATGCCCCCCCACCCCGCCCCACCCACCCAAACCCAGCCTCCCTAAGATTCAGGAATGGGGAACTGCAGGGGCACGGAGAGAAAGATCTTGTCAGAATATTAGACTCTCAAGAAAGAGCCCTGGCCGTAGTGTTCAGTTCCTTCCTCTGCACCCCCATTCCCCGGGGAGGCTGGGTGGTACCCCAGGAGCTGCACCCTGGGGTACACGTCCCCTCCACGTCCTCCCTGGCAAATGGCAGGGTGTCGGGACAGCAAATCTCCAAGGCCCTAAGGACTCCACCTCCTTTCCTCTTGGTGACCCATGTGCACACCGGGGTGCATCCTAAGGCCTGGTGGGCTCGCGTGTGCCGACACACACAGCGAAGAGCCGCCCTCCGGGGCAGCATCTGGCCCATGTGGAACTCCACTACCCACCGTGTGCTTGTGTGGGTGCTCCCACGTGTAGGTCTGTGTCTCAGAATGTCTGATGGCTTTGGGATCTGAAACCCCCTTGTAGCCTCCCCACCATCGCCCCCCCCATGTTTCTGGGTCTCAGGGCTGCCCAAAGAGCTGCCTTCCTCAGGAATTCTCCTCCAACTCAAGAGTGCCTCTTGCTCTTCTTCCTCCAAAATTTGTTTCCAAGTTGGAATCAGGGCATATCAATATGGAGCTGGGTAGGTCCCAGGCTTAGGGGAGGCAGAAGGCAGAGAGAGTCAGGGAGACAGAGAACCCAGAGCCAGGAGCCAGGACTGGGAGACAGGCATGCATTTCAACTCTCCCTTCCACAAACAAGGGCTTACCCCATCTCCAAAGAATAAGGCTGCCCTGCTCTGTCCCAGATCTGGCCGTTTCCCTCTGCCTGGGACAGAGGGTTGAGGGTGAATGTGGGTCTGGGGCCCCAGGGACCAGCATGTGTGGGAAGAGAGCATCATTCCGTGGCTGTAGTCGTTACTAGCTTGTGTGGGGTGGGGACATTAACTATAGAGCAACGGTATGTGTCCACCAGTGTGTGGTGTGCAAATAAGTGTTACTTTGGGGGCTTGTGGTACCTGAGTAACCCCTGAGCCCAAGACACACGGCCTTTCCTCCTCAAGTGGTCATTCCAGGGTGGGGTCCTGACTCCTGACACTTCTTCCTTTCCCTCCTCAGCTCAGCAGGCACGGTACCCTAGGGACCCTTCACTTCTCCACTCACCTGTGCCTCACCTGGGAGCTCCCTGTCCGCCCACCCCCTAGGAGCAGGAAGGGGCCAGCTGGGAAAGCCGGACCCTAGTGTCCTACTCCTTCTGACCTCTATTCTCTGGCTCTTTGCTCTGTCCTTCCAAGAGGCTTTGAACACAGAAAGGGGCTGAGCTGGAGAGGGGTCTGCTCCTCTTTGTCCCTCTTCTTGGCTGAGCCTCAGTCTTCCTGCCTCTAAAATGGGGAGTCCCCAGCTGAAGCACACAAATCGAAATGTGTGTCTGTGGGAGCTGGGTTGGGTGGTTGGGGTCGCTGGTGAAGAAGGCATGCCTGGCCCAGCCAGGAGTTCTGAGGCCCGGGAGAGGAGAGGGACCGAGGTGTCCTCCTTCTGCGTCTGGCTCTTAGTTCCTAGCCCCACGCCCAGAGCCAGGACCGGCTCAGCCAGGGCTTCGCCCACCCCAAGGCGCCCCACACTGCCTGCACCCGGGCAGGCCCGGCCCCAATTTCAGCTGGAGAGGTGGCGCCGGAGCTCGGACCCGGGCCGAACCCGCCCCTGCCCGGAGCCGCTGCCGCCCTCCCTCCCCCGGCCTCGGCCGGGCCGGAGTGACACCTACCTCACCAGGATGGCCACCCCCACGTCCTCGCAGTTGGCATAGAGCCGGGCCCACGTAGCCTGCACCGCCTTCCTCTCCGCCTCGGACAGCTCCTCGCTCCGCTCCCTGCGCTCAATCTCCATCTCGCCCGGCACTTTCTCCATGAGCAGCTCCAAGCCCAGCCCGGCTTCGCTCGGCGGCGGCGGGGCGCGGGGCGCCGGGCGCGGGGAGCCGGGG